TTCTTCTTCTTCTTCTTCTTCTTCTTCTCCTCCATCTCCTCCACCCAATTTTTTTGCGTTTTCGCCCACGTCCTCTTTTCCTCTTTCTGTTTTTGCAATAAATTTACATTTGAATTGTTTTACTGCAATTTTTTTTTTTTTTTTTTTGTATTTTTAGAAAAATCTGTCAAAATCATTTAACCTAAATGGTATTAGATTGACTTTGTGAAAGCCGAGAATATATCATTTTTGTTTGAAAAAAAAAAAAAATTTTTTTTTAACTTATTACATAATTTATATTGAAACAATAAAGTCGGCAATTACTTTTATGTTGAAAACTTCAAAAAAAAAAAAGAAACTTCAACAATCAATTTGTAATAAATTTGTTTCTTTTTTTTTTTTGTTTTAGAATTGAATAAACGTCGCAGAGATACGATGTCACAAACCTTTGCTAAAAAACTATACATAGCGATAATTTTTTAGTTTTTTTTTTACCATAAATTCTCTTTGAATAAGTGATAATCATAAATTAAAATTTGTTAATAAAGAAGAAAAAGCAGAAAAAAAAAAGAACTAAATAGATTAATGAAAAATTAGTTGAAAATTTTCAAAAGTTTGTTGAAAGTTTTTTCAACAAAAAACTGTAGTGAACTAAACAATTACCAATCATTGTTCCTTTACCATTATTTGCCCACAATCTTTGTGTTGTCGGGAAAGTGTATAGGGAGGAAATTTTTTAGCAAATCTTAATGCATAATATTTTTGTATATATTTGTTGATGTTGTAACAACAGCAGTTGTAAATTTAAAAATTTAAAAAAAAAATTTGTGAATTATGTTGTTTATTGGAACGACGATGATGAGTGATGATGATGACTTGAGATGGAGACCAGTAGTTTCCTTATGTATCTGTGCAATCATTTCTGTATTAAGTGCTCGTCGTTAAAATCCTCAACTATCCAAAAAATTTTTATTTTTTAGTTACTGCAGTAAAGTGTTTTTCTTCGGACTAGATATTTCAAGTACTGTCCGATAATAATTTCAATTTTTTTTTGCTACTTTTCAATAACATATAAATAATGAAGTATTGAGGAGGAAGAAGAAGAAGAAGAAGACAAATTAACA